GGCGCCGGCGTCAGAGCCATCGCAAACAGCTAACCTGACAACGCGCGCCCTTGAAACATGCCAGACCGAATCCAGAACGCATGCGCCAGGAGCCCCTGGGCCGACATCGCACCTTCGATGCTGCCATAAAGTCGAAACGAACATGAGGAGCGCCGTGGGACATCCCATCCCTCGAAGAATCAAGAGCACAAGCTCTTGCGAGAGGCTGGGAAAGGCATGCCCGTAGTCGTGCGCGTGCAGCAGCGGGCGCAAGCGATCTGCCTCTGGGCGCGCCGAGTGCGCCCTGGCCCGAGCGCCCACCTCCGAGATGTTGAAACAAAAAATTCCCCCCGGCCATGAATCCCTGCTGGTCCACCGGGGCGAAACGAGCAAGAGGCCTTCGAATCGCCATCGCCGCCGTCGAAAGCTTAACGCTAGTATTTCGACGCCCAAGGGCGCGAACCGACGAAGCCCCCCTCTCCCAGCCCCCTCTTCCCTCGTGTCGGCGCTGGCCTCGCCGTTCGGCGAAAGGGCCCGCGGCGTCGCGCTCTCGGCGGCAAGGGCGCCGCGGCCCGCCATCGCCCGCGTGGGCAGGTCACGCAACAGCGAGGAACCACTCGGGTGAGCCGCCCAGGCTACGTGACAGAGTCGGTCAACGCCAGGAGTTGAATCGCCGGCTGACTTGGCCACGCGCTTGAGCATAGCAAAAGACGGAGGCGGGCAATCGGCGAAGTCGGCATGGCGAGCGAAGCGGTCGCAGCATGCAGAGGCCGTCTTGCCGGCCCATGGTTTTTGGAAAATATGGGGCCCCAGTGAGATGCCGGGGCAGCGGGCCGATCCCGCCCCCCCCTCCGTCGCCCATCCACCGCGACGGCGCGAAGAGTAAGGCGACGGGCGAACGGGGCCCATGTGCGAGCACTCCTCTCGACGGTCTCCCTGGCGAACTCCTTCTCCCCCCGCCGCCCCCAACCGAGCGCGAGCAGCAGCGCGATCGTCCATCTGAAGGCGGCGGGATGGATGAACGAAGCGGATCCTCCATCATTGCGCACAAAATCAGCAGCAGCCGCGCGATGGCCACGGAGACGCCCCGCCGCGCGCGCGCCCTGGCGCCGCGAAGGCACGGGCGAGCAGCAGGAGCATGCGCGGGTCCGACGGCTTCTTATACATAATCATATCCCTCGCTTCCCTGCCGGCGTCCTGCGCGAGATACTTCTGTCTGGGCAGACGCCGCGGCGGACGCGTGGCCATCGAGCGGGCCTCCCACGCGTCGATACATTTGGCGAGGCCGCTCTTGAATTTGCATTATTGGCGCGCGTGCCTGGGGGCCGGGCGCTCGCAGGGCTCCTTTGGCTTAAGTTGGCACATGGATATGATGAGGGCAGCATGGTCGCCAACTTTAGCACGGTGAGCATTTTCAGGGAGGCATTCAACTCTGGCATTCGCACGCACCTGCACGAGCACCCACCCAGGCCACGAGCGCCAGCGTCTGTCAATGGCAGCAACCGCATCGGCACGCACATCGAAGTGCGTCGCATTCGCTGGTGCGATCTAAACAGGACTGTCCAAAGCGCCCGCCCACCGAGGAGCTTGGCCGTGGATGGGCCTCTGGGCCCTCTGAACCTGCATGGGCCGCGCAAACGAAAGCTGTTCTTCTCCCGCTAAGTCAGTCGCCGTGCACTACCAGAACGACTGACTCAGGGGCAGGCGCAGCTGGGACCCGGTCCCGACTTATGTGGTTGCATGCGCCTCGAACCTGTTCGGGGGAAAGCTCATGGTTGTGAACAATATGGTGCATTAGTTTTGCCTCTTGGTTTCCGAGGACGGCCCGCAAAACTCGGCCAGCAATCAGAGCTCGGGGCTTGGGAGGGGGTGGGCGCCCCAGGAGGAAGGGGAGGGGGAAGCTGGCCGCTGGTTAAAATCCCTGGGACGACAATGTCAAACCCACCGCGGACGCGCCCAGCACGGTCTTCCCCGCAGAAGCTCGACCAAATCAGAGCTCAGAGCTCAGGGGGCACGCATCTAAGGAGAGGCACTGATTGCGCCTCGCTCTGGCGATTCTCCTGGGGAGCAGTGACTGTCGAGCCCAGTCTGAGCCTCTGGAGGTAGGAAAGCTTAACACCAGCGTGACCCCCCCCCCCCCCTCGTACTGCAAGGGAACTCTAGCGTTCCAGGAAGCGAAGCGCAGGCCACCAGCTGTTGCAGCATCGCGCAACAACTGGAGCTGCGACCTCGCAAAGAGTGCGGCGAAACGGCTAGAGACACCACTCAGGCTCACGATCTGGCTGGAGAAGGTCGTTGACAGCTTCAACGAGCGTCGCCTTCGGGGTGCCATGCTCCGCGATTGCGCCAGGGATCCACATGATCTTGGTCGGCTCTCGCCCTGGTCTCGATGCGGCACCGAGCGCCCCGACCCAGCGAGATCCTGCCACGTCCCCCATCGAGAAAGATCTTCTGTCCGCGCCCGTAAACCTCTTGTAGATTGGCGCGGATCTCCCCCCCCCTGTGGTCTAAGCGTTGATCTGCTCGGGGTTCTTGTCGCAAGAGACGTGCGATCGAGCCGCTCCCCCCGCGTGGGCAAGGACCTCCAGCTCACGCCATTGGTTGCCTGAAAGACGAAGACCGCCAAGGAGCTTTTACACGCGCCTGAACGCCAGGCCCATCGCCCCAAAGATCTGCAGCACGAGCATCTTCGAGACCGGGTCGGGGGACGAGATCGACCGCGTGTCCCCTGTGATCTGGATCTCCTCAAGCCACGGTGTGATGACATGGAGCACCTCCTGCTTCACAGCCAACTTACCCGCATTGAGCTTGATGGTCGTAGCGTCGATGTCCCTCTCGAACGTCGCGGTGCCTGTGATCTCATTCGGTGCTAGACGCTGTGGGCTGGCCGCGACGAGGGCCTCCTGGAGGCGCTGCACCTGCGCATGCAGGTCCTTCAGAAACTTACTGTGAGTCTCCACCTTCTCATCCCCATTGCGAATGTCCGAATAGATCGCGTCGCACCGAGCCATGACCTCCGTCCGCAGCTGATCCAGCTTGGGCGTGACCACTGACAGGATGTGCTGGTCCATCTTCTTCGGGAACACGTCGAGGTCTCGCTTACAGGCCGCCCTTCCAGAGTCGAAGTGCTCCTTAAACGAGTCCGTGATGAAAACCGTCTCAGAGGAAATCGCAGAGGAGACCGCCGAGCCAACAATGTCATCCACCTGCTTCTTGACGTTGCTGAGCCGCTCGTTGACCACGTCCACGCAGAGGGCGCGGATGTGCATGTGCTCGTAGACGTCGGAGCCACTGTCCTCGGCGTCCATCCGATGCAGCTCAAGGTCAGCAGGAGAAGTAGCAGCAGAGCCCGTACCAGGCACTGCACCGACCTTGCAGAAGTGCTCCAGCGGATTTTTGCGTGGATTTCTGCCAATGCAAGCAAAACCCCAAAACCGGCGAGCGAACAACGCAGAGAATTGTACGTAGATGTTAATCTTCATTCCTGGCCAACAGCAATCCGCACGATATTCACTTCGAAATCCACAACGAAAGTTTCCAGGCCACTCCGGGCCCATTCCATTGTTTTCCGAACGAAATCCGCTCTGCGATGTTGGCCCCATGGTACCAGGACTCGGAGCGCGGGCAGCACCGCGACAGCGTGGTTTGGCAGTGTCCGGCTTGACGACCTTCTTGCCAAGGGTGTTCGGCGCACAACCACTGGGCGTTGAGGGGCACCAGCATTGGCCGCAGACATCGGCGAAGCGAGAGACTGAAGGGTGCGATGCAAGACGGGGCTGTGGTGCGGGAGACCAGATCCGGCGGTGAATGCCGCAGAAGGGTGCCAGGCAGAACTGCCTTGCCAGCCGCGGAATAGCGGTATCCCTTTTCTGCCTTGGGGCTGGACGCCCCCGAAGGCATGGGTCTTGAGCCAAAATGGCTACGGAGGAGGAGGAGGCGAAGGAGGAGGAGGAGGAGGAGGAGAAGGAGGACTCCGCATATTTTTCTGGCGAGGCTAGGCGGGAGGCGGGAAACCATCTGTGAAGAATTCAAAAAACGCTCAAGACATCCGAGGAAGCCTCAGGCAGCCTAGGCCTGGCGGAATGCAAGGGCGGCGAAGCTGACCTTCCCTCGCAATCGTGTTCGCGTTCGCACCTCCTCCCGCTTGGTGGCATTTGGGGGAGCAGGGGGCCGACTTTCAAGGTACCGATGGTTCGTGTCGTGTCGACCCCAGCGCTGGTTCCCGACACCGCGGGGATCGTTCAACATTGAACGTTCGGCCGCTTCCCAAGTGTCCGATCGTTAAACATCGACCGGTTCTGGGTCGACGACGGCGTTCAACATTGAACGCCAACGGCGGGGTCGCCGCTACTCAACACGACGCGAACCTACCGTGAAGTCGGGCGTGTCCCCCTACAGGCGGATTTTGGACGAAAGATAACAAATAGTCAAAACATATTCCGAAATAGTCAAACGTGTTTCGAAACACCGTCCCCAGAGTTGTTTCTTCTTTTTCCCGACCTAGGCTCTGCCTAGAAGGGTTCTTACTCGAAAGCTTAAAGGGCCGGGCAGTGGGGCACGCCCCGGGCGGTTCCCCCAGTATCCGCCCCGCGGTTCCCCCAGTCCCCTGGGAGCTTTAGCTTTAGCTTTAGCTTTAGCTTAGCTTTATCTTAGCCGCAACTCTTAGCTTTAGCTAAACTTTAGCTAAACTTTAGCTTAGCTTTCGCTTAGCTTTCGCTTTAGATTTAGCTTAGCTTTAGCTTAGCTTTAGTTTAGATTTAGCTTAGCTTTAGCTCAGCTTTACTGTTACTACTGATGCTGCTTTCCTAGGGGCTCCAACTCCTAGGTAGGGTCGCACTGGGATAATTGTTTTTTTTTGCAAAAAAAATGTAGACGGACGCGCCCGACTTAAACCTACCGTGCTCACAAACAAATATCCGATTCGAGGATCGGCGGGGTGGCACCGTGCGGGGGAAACGCCCGCTTCCCCTGCGGGCTGGCTGGCTCGAGGCTGCTTCTGGACGGGGGCCCTCCCCTGAGGCCCCGTCACGGCCGTCTGCGGCCTCGCCTTCCCGAGGCGGAGGAGGAGGATGAGGAGGAGGAGGAGGAAAAGGAGGAGGAGGAGGAGGAGGAGGACGCGGACGCGGACGCGGAGGAGGAGGAGGAGGAGGAGGAGGAGGAAGAGGGGGATGGATGGATGGATGGCAATATGACGGTGTCATGTCAAAGCAAAGCGGCCTCCCCTGACCTCGAACAGGAACTGCACGGACCAGATGAGGAAGTGCAAACGAGCGAGAAGCCCAAATTGATGTCGCCGATGGAAACGCCCGTGACAACACAAGAAGACTCCGAGCAACAGACTTTGGATGAATACCTCAGCGAACACACTGTGAGCAAACCAACAAAACTGAGAAAGGACCAACTCGATTCGGCCCAAAAGGGCAACCTCAAATTCCACTAGCAACAGCAAGAGGCTCCAAACAGAGATCGCCAGCCCCGTCCCCTGCTTCATTGGCCCAAACAACGGCCACTTTCTTTCCTTCATGCCCACCAATGCACTGAAAGGATTGATCTCACCCACTGAGACCAATCAAAACTTGAATTGAAATACCCTCCCCAGGCGGCTGTGGGAGACGACCACCAAGTAAATGACGGCGCCAGCACAGCACTGAAGAGAGCCCCATTGCAAAAGGATAGCTGAACACGTGGCAGCGCGGATGACCCAAATTATTGAAGCCAGCCGAACTGCAAGAGCACCATACCCGAACAAAAGGTAACGACAACGTGAGCCCAAATTTATTGAGCCTCCGTCTCAGCACCCGATGTCGGCTCTGTAGCAGAGAATGTGCAGCGCTCCGCAAACATCCACATGACAGCGGCATTGAGTTTGGCCCTCGGATGGATGCGTCTCGCAAGCTCGTCGGCACTATTGATGACGACCGTGTCCGCGCTGACTGCTGCGAGCTGCTCGTCCAAAACTCGCTCCACCTGATGATCCATGGCATGATCCCAGTAAGAGGCGTAAGGTCCTGACCAATGACTCATGCGACGAAACTCGTGATTGCGTAAATGGAAATGCGCTGGCTCCCTCGGAATGGCAGCGGCTCCCATAGCCCTGCAGACAGCAACTGCGCAGGAATGGCACATGGAACCGTCCCATTGAGCTGTGCAAGCAACATGCCAGCGCCATGCAGTGGCTTGATAAACCAATGCTTCTAAATTGAAACTTCCGTCTCGCTCTAAATAGTTGCGAAGCTGCAACGGCCCATCCTGAGTGCCTCGCATGGCCAAATCACTCCCGTGGCCGAGCGGGCGCAAGGCCGCCGTTGGATTACTGTGCGTAGTCCCTTCCATGGGTCTGTAATTCGGGATCGGGCGTAATGAAGCCGTGAAACTGGGCACCGCGGCGATCCGCATGCAGTCCGTGCGCCGTGCAATCTCTATGATCGTGGCGTTCGGAAGCTGACCATGGAGCGCCTCATATATGAGCTGGTCGTAGAGAAGCCTGCGGGTCGTAGCGTCGGTCTGCCTCTGACCAAGGTATCGACGCAAGAGACAATCGAGGTCATCGCGAAACGAGAGCGGCGGACAGACGCAGGATACCACAACCACAGCCGGCACCGTTGCAAGGGCTGACCCAAAAACGTTAAGTAAATCTCGTTCTCGCACGCTGACCCCTAGTTCCCGCAGAGCTTGAGCATGGTGCTGTTCCAGTACACTGATGTGGACGTCTGATGCCTCCCAGTTCTCCAAGAGATTCGGATCCATAGCGCCGATGATCTGTGCCTGTCCAGACCAGGGTGTGGGGCGTCACCAGGGGCTCCCACGCAAGGAACCCTCCTGGCCGTGCCGACCCTTAAAAGGGCCAGACCACCGAAGCACCCTCCCCTGTGAGTCGGAATGCTCCTCTCGAGCGTCGGAAAAGACTTCCTCGCTTTCGTCAAGCACGAGCGCCTGCGCACTAGGCGCGGGTGGCGTGCTGTCCCCCAAGCACCACGAGGCGGCGCGAGGACTGGCCAAGTAGGAGCGCACAAAATGTGACAAGGAAGGCGTATGGTGTAAGGTCCACCCAGTAACCCCCCCCGCCCCCGCTCGGGCCAGAGTTGCTTGAGAGGAGGAAGAGGGGGAGAAGGAGAAGGAGGAGGAGGAGGAAAAGGAGGAAAAGGAGGGGGAGGAGGAGGAGGAGGAGGAGGAGGAGGAGGAGGAGGAGGAGGAGGAGGAAAAGAAGGAGGCGGAGGAGGAGGAGGAGGAGGAGGAGGAGGAGGAGGAGGACGCGGAGGCGGAGGAGGAAAAGGAGGAGGAGGAGGAGGAGGAAAAGGAGGAGGAGGAGGAGAAGAAGGCGGAGGAGGAAAAGGAGGAGGAGTAGGAGGAGGAGGCGGAGGAGAAGGCGGAGGAGGAAAAGGAGGAGGAGGAGGGACACGACCACCCCCAAAACCAGCCTCCGCACACTGCGGACCGTCTGCCGCGGTGCCGCGGGCCTACTGCCTGGGCGGCCGCCCGCCGAGGCCCCCGCCGAGGGGCCCCCGCAGCGGGCGGCGGTGATGGGCAAGCCCCCGCCTCGGGGCATCGACTTCCGCGGGTCCGCGCGGCCCCCCGGAAGCCCACGTGGCCGATTGCGGAGCCCCTGAGGCCCAGAAATGTTGCCACCTCTCGGGGGTGTGGGGGGCGCATCTTCTGCTTCCGCCGGCTTCCGCCGCCCTTCCGCCGCCTTCCGCCGTCGGAGGCGGCCTCGCTTTACCTCCGCCGCCCTTCCGCCGCCTTCCGCTGGCGGAGGCGGCCTCGTTTTACACTCCGCCGCCCTTCCGCCGCGGAAGAGATGGCAGCTCCTCCTCCTCCTCCTCCTCCTCCTCCTCCTCCTTCTCCTCCTCCTCCTTCTCCTCCTCCTCCTTCGATCCTGGAGGGCAAGACCGCTTCTGCAACGCCTCACGTGCTCACGCGCTGCCTGCTGCTCCCCGGGGCCTCGGGCAGCCACGAGACCACCACGCGGAGCCCCTGCGCGGCCCACTCGCCGGCTCTGCCGAGCTTCCTCCTGCGCTCCTCGGGGCTGGGCGCGCTCCCCCTGACGTCCTTCACCCAGACGAGCTCCGGCACCGCCAGCCCTGCCCCGGCCTGCCTCTCCGCATAGGCCTGGACGCCGGAGGAGCCAGACGGCGACGCGGGTACGGACGTCCGGGGGCCCGCGCGGACCTCTTGGGCGTCGGCGCTGGAGTCCCCCCCGCTTGAGTAGGCACGAGAGCTTAGTGGGCCCTGGAAACGACAGGGCCGTTTTTTTACCGGTTCCGTTGTGCCGTTTTTGTTGACGGTTCCGACGCCGTTCTTTATCAGTTCCGTCGCTGTTTTTTTACGGGTTCCCGCTCCGGTTCCAATCCTGGAGCCGTTTTTGTTGCCGTTTCCGGTCGCCGTTCTTTTGCCGTTTCCATTTTCAAGGGACACTTTTCGGAAACGGTGAAAAAAACGGCACTGCCGTTTCCGGGGCCCACTAAGCACGAGAGGGCTCCCGGCCATTTGGGAGGCGCCCTGAGTCAGGAGGGCCAGGCACGCCAGGGACCAGGGGGTCTTTCCCTGCGGATGCCTCGGACCAAGCCGCCAAGGACTATGATCTCTAATGCGAAGACGGGGACCTCAGTGAGGCCACGTCTTCATCGTGTGATGGGGTTGGAGGAGGAGGAGGAGGAGGAGGAGGAGGAGGAGGAGGAGCAGGAGGAGGAGGAGGAGGAGGAGGAGGAGGAGGAGGAGGGAGGAGGAGGAGAAGGGAGGAGGAGGAAAGAGGAGGAGGAGGAGGAGGAGGAGGAGGAAGGAGGAGGAAGGAGGGAGGGAGGAGGAGGAGGAGGCCGAGGCCACGAGGCCACGGGTTAGGGGCTCTATTGTTCTCAATGGCCCCTCCTCTCGGGGGCGGCGCCAGAAGCGCCGCCTCGTGGGCGGCGGGGGCCAACGCGTGCTCGAGAGGCCCGCGCGGGCGCCCACCAGCGCACGCGCTCGCGCCGCCTTCCGCCCTCCGAGATGTAGCGCTGGAAGCCTGCGCCCCAAGGATCGCCTGGGGGAGCACGAGGGCGAGAGAGCCCAGAAGCGGATCGACAGGGATCCGAGAAATCCGCACGGACCTCCGAGTTGTTATGTTTATGTCACTTTTCGTTCCCCCAGGATCGGCGATCGACATGAATCGGATCGACGGATATCGGCAGCCGGGTCGGGAAAAGTCGAATCGGCAGACATCGGCAGGCTATAGTAGGCCTCCAGTGAGAAATCGGATCCCAAATCGGAATCCGAAATCGAATCGAATCTGAATCGGCAACCATCGAAATCCAAACGAATCGAATCGGCGGCATCGAAATGAGCCCTGCACTGGGGTTACCGATGCCGCTGCTCCCTGCCTGGACCTCTCTCTTGGGGTGCGTTCTGGCCAGAACTTCGAGGCGCATCCAGCGGTGGCAGCGAAGGCCTCCCAAGAGGCCCCCCGAAACCGGGCACTATGCAAGGGTAGCGGTATCGATACCTCTTCCTCCCCTGATCGCCATCGACCACCAGGTAGTCGGGGCGGAACCGCGCGATGGCCGCAGCGGCGGCCTCGTCCTGCTGCCGCTGCACGCCCCTCTGCTCCTCCAGAGGCCTCCCACACGGGGTCCGAGCAGGTGGTGCCGAAACATCGCTCCGCAGCGCCGATGCCTCGGCGAAGCATCGTCGACGTCGGCGATGCATCGGCGACGTCGACGTGGAGAAAATCGGGCTCCATGTCGGGCCGCATCGCCGATGCCTCGGCGATGCGGAGCCATCCTTCGGCCCCATCTGCCCGAACTCCATTTGGAAGGCCCAGGATCTGGGGAAACCAAGAAGTACCAATACCTTGGGTTCGTCTGGGGGGGCTGGACTGGAAGGACCCCACGAATGCACGTCAGGGCGGGTCGGCAGGGGGGTCCGCCAACTCCTTGTTGATGGAAGGGCTTGGGCGGTCAACTCGGACACTCCGCGCCGATCGCAAGCTTGAACGGCAAATCAGCGCGTTGGCGCCGAAGCGCATTTAGCATGCAGCTCCCAAAACGCCAGAATCACGCACGATCCACGGCGGCGCAAGGGCAGGGGGAGGAGGGGGGCGAGAGGGAGGGTGAGGAATGTAAGGGTGAGGATAAAGGGGGCGAGGAGGGGGCGGTAGGGGATGCGAGGGAGGTGGAGGGGAACGAGGAGGCAAGGGAAGATAAGGACTTGGGAGGACATATGGGGGGACGGGGGACAAATTAGAAAGGTAGGAGGGGGAGGTGGAGGAGGAGGACGGGAGGCCGAGGAAGAGTGATGAGACAAAATGGCTGGCAACATCAGTGGCGCACGAGTGGTACGCAGGTTAAAGCACATGTGTTTACGCGTGTGTGTGAGAGGATCCTTATATGCCAACGGTATTGAATGCAACGGCACGTGAAGCAATGGCCACGCCGACCGTCGGAGTATCGCGCCGCATCGCCGATGCATCGCCGATGCAGCTCGATGTGGAGCCCGATGTGCCGTACGTCGGAGGTCGGAGTAGACGGTGCGCTCGCTGCATCGCGCGATACTCCGACGGTCGGAGTAGACGGGGTCGATATTCCGACCGCCCGACGCATGGCGCGCCCCCAACACCCTCAACACCACTCACTCGTTGCCTCGACGTCGGCTCGCACTCTGAGAGCATCCAGCCGAGATTAGAATCCAAACCTAAACTGCATTGCGGCACCCTAGCTAAACACAGCCAGCCCAATGCAGACCAGCGGCCCAGAGTGTTTGCACAAGCATGCGTGTCACGATATATGCAATATGCTGATCCCTTATGTGTCTATGTCTGCTCAATGCTGCATTACGTTTGCATGCTATGCTAGTGCCTGCTGCGCTTGAAACTCCTGAGGCTCAGGAGCGCTTGGCGCGCTTGAAACCCTTGGCGGGGCGATCTGAAACGCTAGGGGCCTTGGCCTTCACGTGCTGACTGCCATCGGCTGAACTCGGGGCAGGCGGCTTCTTTGGGGTCGGAGTGTGAACAGACCCGTCCGCTAAGCTTTTCTTGGCTGGCGTGAGGTGGGCTCCGCCCCCAGACGCGCTTGCGCCAGGGGCCAACGCCTCGCCAGCCTGTGCTGGCAAAGGCTGGGCTGGAAGTGCGTGCGCCTGCAGGTCCTTGAACAACTGCCAGAAGCACTGCGGTACCTTGGGGTAGCGACACTCGTTCTCCGTCAAGAACTCCGTCGCTTTCGTCGGCCCCTCAGGGCGATGACGATACGCAGTCAACAGGTCGACGCCCCTGATGACCACGCTTGCTTCCGCAGCGTCCTTCAGCAACTGGAGTGCCACGTTCACTGACTCGGACGTCGTCGGGTGGTCCTGCACGCGGGGGTTGATGGACAGCACGGCTGCTGACGTGGAGAAGGCTTTGATGCAGGTGTGGAGTGAGTTGTGGCGGTTGATCACGACGTCCAGCTTGTTCTTGAGCATCGCCATTGCCATCGTCTCGTTGAACACGTCGTCGACGAAACATGCTGTCCAAGTAGGGGTGACCTTTGCCGTCGCCTGTCCCTCGTTGGTCAAGACCTCGGCCATGCCCAGCAAGAGCATGCTCTCGTAACGCCCGCTGACTCTTGCCGCCAACAAGCACCAGTGACGCATGGTGTGGATCGACTCGCGGAGCTGCCAGCCTGTCTTCTCGAACTCCATGGCCCTGGGGTCGTTGGCCATGCTGTCCAGCTTCTGCAGCGCAGCGTGGAGGATCTGCAATATGAAGGTGGCCGTCCCGCAGAGGTACTCTTGACTCATGAACTGCTTATCCTTGGAGCGAGCCTTCTTGCCTATAGCCACCTCGGCTGAGGAAATGACTGCGACCACGTCGGCGACAGCGCACTTGAGCTCCATAGCGAACATGCACAGGTCGATGCTGGGCTTCGGTGCATCCACAGTTGAGTTGAACATGCCAGGGACGTCGATCTCCGTCAGCATGACTGCTCTGATGAAGCATCGCAGGTGCTCGAGAGCTCGGTTATGAGGGAGAAGCTCCAACACCTTGGGATCCCCTTTGCTTCCAGAAACATCAATGGGCGCAAGCTTCGCAACATTGTCGGCATCGCCCTTAGGCAACAAGTGAGGATACAGGGCCGAGTCGTCGCACTCCTTTAAGACGTCGGCGTGAACGCTCCCCAGGAGCACCTCCACGTCAGAAATCGTAGAACTCTTATCTACCAAGAACGCTGTAGCCTTGAAGTCGTACATGCGCTGGCCGACATGCTCAGCAAACGCCGCGAACAACGCTGCGATGTCATCTCCGACCTCGGGGAGATCGAGGGTGGATGAGGTCAGCACGGTGAAGGGCGTGACTGAGGTGTGCTCGTGGTGGACCCTGCTGAAGTTGCAGAGGGTCTGCTCGTCGGGCTTGGTGCTGCTCTTTGAAAGTGACTCGCCGTCGAGCCACCAGTCTGGGTCGGCAAGCAAGTGAAGGCTCTCAAGGTATATGATAATCTTGTCGATGACCGCAACGTTGTGGTTGAAATGTCTCAGGACAGTGTCGCCCGACGCGTCCTTGTCGAAGTGATCGTGCCAAGAGCCGCCCACTCTGGTGGCCGCGAGCTTGCACAGCTTCTGGGCGCCCAGCACAGACTTCAGCATCAGCTCAACGAAGGCTCTCAAGCGCGGGCGCATCGCTTTCACAGTGGCGTCGATCTCACGGATGTGAGCGAAGAGGCGGACTGGCGACGAGAACGGCATTGTCGGCTGCACATTGCCGTCGCCGCCAGGCTGGGTCGACTCGCACTCGGCTTTGACGACCTCTGTCTGGATGGGGCCTGAACTGTCGCCGCCTGCGGCAGCGCACGAATCTGCCATGCCCGCCTGTGAAGCTTGCTCCAGGAGATGGCCGATCCAACCTCTGACGGTATCTATGTAGACGAAGTTCCCTGCGTGCAACAGGACGTACATGTTTGATACAGTATTCGCCTGTGGCCCAGACTCACACAGCCACTTCATTTACACAAAGAACAGAGGGAGTTGGGGAGGCCGAGGAGGGGGGCCAGCATCAGCACGAGCAGCACGACGACGACAGCTGGGGGACGGCGACGACTACGAGAGCGAGCACGACCAGCAACGACAGCATGCGCAGCACGAGCAGCGCACTCAGCAAACGTGTTGAGGGACGTCGCGTTTGGGTTTGCACCCCTCCCTCCATCCTCTCCCACCCCCCCCCTGGCGAGTTTCCGAAGGCAGGGCGGGCCCAATTAAAAAGGCAAGCTAGCGTGGCGGTCGGTTTCGGAGTCGAGGCGGGGGTGAGGAGGAGGAGGAGTTAGATGAGGAAGGATAGGGATGTGGAAGTGGCTGTGGATATCAGTCGTGCCCAGCGCTCGCCAGAGTCTCGGCGTGCTGCTCCAAGGCGCTCGTGGACCAGCGCTGGAGGGCCTGAGTGCAAGCAACGCTCATCACCATGCACGCCTCGAAATACTTCCCGAACGCATCGCAGGTCATCGGCTTGCCGCCATTCCCCGCCTTCAGCCAAGAGGTGGCGTTCTCGAAGACTGGATCGAGCAAGTCCTCGAAGCGGTCGACGCTGAACTCGAACCCGCTGCTCGCAGCCTCATCCTCGATGCCGACCTTGGCGTGGCTGAGAGCCCGTTTCATGAACGCCATGCCTGCAGGGTGGACCGCCATTGCTTTTGCCATCTCTGATGATGGGACATCCTCCTTCGCTGCTGCCATCACTGTCCTCCTGGCCCACCTCGCACTGTCGACGCTGGGCATCTCCCTCTCGTCCGACTTCGCGCACAGCGCGATCGTCACGAACGCGTCGAGAAGCTGGCCCACCTTATTGCTGAGGCAGCCGTTGTGTTTGGTAAGCCACGCCTGGCGCGTTCTCTCCATGAACTCATGGCAATGCTGCACCGCCTTCTGGTCATTCACGATGTCGGGGCTCAAGGTGAAGATGTACTTCGCCATGGAATCGCTCACCAGCTTCTCGAACTGCTCGACGGGATGGACCAATACACGCTTGGCGATCACGTCTTTCGGCATGGTGAACTGCTTGCGCTTCTTCGAAGGTGGTGCTTCGCCCTCTGCTGTGCCATCGGCGGCGCCCTTATCCTTGACCTTCGCGCCGTCGGTGGTCTTGGTCATCGTCCCCATCACTTTGCCAGCATTCTCGGTTACGATCTTGTGGCACTCAGTGAGACGGTCGAAGTTCAGCGACTTGATTGCCTCGTCAATGCCCATGTCGTTGGCCAAATCCTTGTAGAACTGCGCGTAGATAAGGATCATCTCCAAGTCGGCACCCACAGACTTCTTCTGGAAACGAAGGAACGGTTTCAACTTGCAAACTGCATCAAGCACATGGACCACGGTCGCATCGTTGTTCTCGTCGTGCCACGTCTTGAAGAGCTTGAACAGGATGATCGTTGTCTTCACGCGCATCGAAAGCTGTTTGAATGAAGTCTTTATGTCAACGTTCGCTTGCTGGGAGATCTCACTGCTGTGCTGGTTCAAACGGCGCTCGAGTGCTTGTACGGTCTGTATCTTGTAGTCTGGTAGCCAGCCCAGGTGCGACAGAGCCTCAACGTACTGGTTGATTGTCCCACGAATCCTCCCGAAGCTGATGTACACCTGGCCCTTGGGCA